TATATAAATGTATAATGTTATGAGATTTAAACTATTTAGTCTAAACATTTATGCTTTCATGTTATAATTTGTCATTTTAGAATGAAAAAGGCATGATTATATCCCTAATTTTTTATAGTGGTTACGAGATCGGTCAAATCAAACAAACTCATACAGGTATATGTTAGTGAAAATAACAGGTATAATATAAAGTTTTTTCTTAAAAAACGTTTGATAACTATCTGGACATTATAAGGATTTTGCTTGTGAAATTTGAAAAGTTTCTGTTGCATAAAAGTATTTTTAATCTTAAAAATCTTTGCATGTTGGATAGGCAACATGCAAAAAAGAAAAAAAAGCATGAAAAAAGATTGCTTTAGAAAAATTCAAAATTAAATATCTTATTTTTCAAAAACTACATACTTATAGGACCTTTCATCTCAAATTTAAAAGAATTTCATCCACTACTTTCATTTTTGTAAAGAACTTATACAAGAGTTCCATACCTACTTACAGTCACAGTCAAAGAGTTAACCCTAATTTTGTTAGCCAACTACATTGATAAGGGTTCAGGTTTCACAGCATGCCTCATGGGGGAAATTTCAGAATTTATGAAATTTGTATAAGCATATAATGAGCAGTTAGGGCTTTTAAACTGAGAAGTGGTTTCTTGCCAAGTGGGGTGATTGTCGAGAAAATCCTGTGATGGCTGTATCCGTACTACAAAACGATAATCTACCACCAGTTTCCTGAAATTTAAAGGTCAAAGGTGCATTTTTTATGCATGTAAATGTGATAATCTTAGTTTGTCTGTTCAAAACTACCAGGAAAGAGAGGGCAAAGGGTGTACTCTGAAGAAATAATTGAAATGCAAGCTAAGTGTAAATTTTCTTATGCCCAATGCTACTTCTTCATCTGTCAAAAGTTCCAGATGGTGTCTGTGGTGATGGACAACAAATAAAAGTATATAACATTTATATTTGAAGAATCTAAAGACATAGAGCAAGCTTTTGCCTGAGAGTATGGTACTTAGTTATAAAAACTACTGTGAAATACCTGCCGAGATGTTCCGTCACAGTGCTTCAGCTTGTGACATATTAGATTGGTAGCCTACTCCATGTAGAGATTGGAAGTCATCAAGAGAAATGGAAATGTTTACAAAATACCAAGGAGGCAAAATTGATGTTGTTGTTTAACTAGTTTGAAGCTCCATGCCAGTACAGTATCTTGCTAATTTTTTATTTTCACAATTGTTTACTGGAATAAGGAATAAAACAAATATATGGTCATTTGTAGGCCTATAGAATATAGTCTAAAATAAAACTTTTCTCCTCTCTCTCTTGGATTGGTAGAACTGATTATCCTTGAAAAGCATTGCATTGCACTTTTTATGTCAAAGTTTTGTACCCATAAACCCACCTTGAAACAATGAGGGGTGAAATGTTGCCCACATACAACAAGAAAATGTGTTCATGTTGTATTCTTTGGATATGATGGAGGTTTGTGTGAAAACATAACCCTTTATTATCACACTTGTTATTTGTACCATGTTTCTCAGTAGGTGTTTGGCTGGGCCTTTTCAAAAACAAAATCATAGGTAGAGGTAGTCTGAATCTGTGGATGGTGGATTTCCTTAGAAATCACACTATTTACTGGCTCCCATAAAATTGTTAATAGCTTTTGATTTGAAATATCCAAAATCCTTTACATCCGTTAGTGTAAGAAGTAACTGGGAATATAAAAACGAAATCCATTAGTGTAGAATGTAACTGGAAATATAAAGAATGAAATCCATTAGTGTAGAATGTAACTGGAAATATAAAGAATGAAATCCATTAGGGTAAAATGTAACTGGAAATATAAAGAACGAAATCCGTTAGTGTAAAATGTAACTGGAAATATAAAGAATGAAATCCATTAGTGTAAAATGTAACTGGAAATATAAAAACTAAATCCATATGAAGTAACTGTCAAGGTCTTGGCTAAATATCTACCTAAGAAAGCTAAGTAATTACTGACAGTTAAAAATGTACTTCATGTCAAAAAAGAAACTGTTTTTCTAGCACTATTTTATGAACTTCTGATTTTATAAAAACCAAGGTTTTTTTAGTAAAAATACATGTGTCAAGTTTGATTCTTTTGCAATAAAAATATTTCTGATTTATTCCTAAATTTGAATAAATGTTCTTGTACTAATAATTTTTCTCTCCTTAACTTTTTACAGATGCAAAATCCCAGGAGGCAGCACAGAGTGCTTATTATAACCCAGGCAACCCTGGTTATGCCTATATGCCTCCACCTCCAAATTATGTAAGTAATTTGTGTGCTGGAAATGAATTGTTTAAATATAAGGGTTTGCTTTAACTGATGTAATAAGTCAGCATTTGATTTTGCCAAAATAGTTGTTATAGTATTCTTTTAGAGAAATACTAGTATGAAAATCTGTTTTGTATTTATATATAAACACTGTAAAATCTATCATTATTATATCCCTTTTAAAGTTATTTTATTGCTTTTTTGGTATCTAAATTATGAAAAGCATGGACAAGGTCAATTTGATATATAATAATTCTGTATCTAGTTTAAATTTACACTTTATTAATCACTGTTGATTCGATGATCTTTCTCTTAGCTAGAGCTGAACATCATGAAAATATAAATAAATATCGGTAGTAATTCAAATTACTCTGGAAGTAACAACATCAACAAGAGTAGACAATTACATCATTTTTAACAGGCTTTATGGATATTAGTTTTTATATCTTAAGGCACACAATGTTGATTAGGAAATGCTATTTTAAATTAATTTTTTTTTAAATATCAAAAATGCTATTTTAAATATATGAATTATTTTTTACATTTTAATTGTATATATTTTCACTAAGTTTCTTCAATATTCATTACATAAAACTTTCCTTTTATGCAACTGGAGGTTGCTTAATGTTAGGCTTAAGTAGTATTGAACCATTAAGTGAAGCCTTGAATGACAAATACACATATATTATTAATAAAAAGTGCACTGTTGATGCACAGTTCTTGTTTCTTCAAGACTTGCACCATGATCTCTTTCTTTTTCTCCTTACTAATCTCTTAAATAAACTTCTATCGATACTTGTCTTATCCTATTGCAAGTTCACGTATGACGTAATCATTACCACATTTTCTTTCAACATTTCAAGTTGTTAGTTTCAGCTCTTGTACAGACTTTATGTTTTGGTGTTCTTTTGTCCCTTATTCGTTTATTGTTTGTTTCAGCTCTTGTACAGACTTTGTTTTGGTGATCTTTTGTCCCTTATTCGTTTATTGTTTGTTTCAGCTCTTGTACAGACTTTGTTTTGGTGATCTTTTGTCTCTTATTCATTTATTGTCAGTTTCAGCTCTTGTACAGACTTTATGTTTTGGTGTTCTTTTGTCCCTTATTGTTTGTTTCAGCTCTTGTACAGACTTTATGTTTTGGTGATCTTTTGTCCCTTATTCATTTATTGTTTGTTTCAGCTCTTGTACAGACTGTTTTGGTTTTCTTTTGTCCCTTATTCGTTTATTGTTTGTTTCAGCTCTTGTACAGACTTTATACTTTGGTGTTCTTTTGTCCCTTATTCGTTTATTCTTGTTTTTTATGAACATATTAGTCTTGAGGTTTTTATTTTAAAGTAAAGAGCTTTGTGTCTTTATTTCTTACCTCAGTACTTTGTTTCTCTTGATATTTCAGTTTTTGTTAAATGCTTAAACAGAAGTGTCAGTACGAATGTCACAATTTCTGCTTTGTGCACGTATAAAGCTTTTCTGAACAGTTTCAGATTTCATGGTAAATTTTCCTCTCCTTCGTGTCTTTAAGACTGGTGAAGTATACTGCCAAACTCAACCTTATCCTGTGAAGTAGATGTAATTTTGGTTAAATCTTTCAGTGCTACCTTTATAGATATCAACTCTCCCACATTTGTAATCTTTCAGTGCTACCTTTATAGATATCAACTCTCCCAACATCCACGTTTGTAATTTTGGTTAAATCTTTCAGTGCTACCTTTATAGATATCAAATCTCCCAACATCCACATTTGTAATTTTGGTTAAATCTTTCAGTGCTACCTTTATAGATAT